GAAGAAATACATTCATTGGTTTATCTAAAACAAATCCAATTTTACACATAACACAAATGTTGTTTTGTTGTATGTTGTACATTTTCATTAAGAGGAAAACACTTTCCCATTAACAAGCTGATATTTTGATGTACATAATATACAATTTACTCTGTTTTTAGTCACTTCAAATAGATAACAATTGCTTACTACTTCATTGTTGTTTGTGTTTGCAATAAATACAAAACTTTTTCCAAATTCACTGAAATTAATTTGACAAATTTTACTTGAAATTGTGCCTTTTGATATAAATATTTTTGAGTTTTCATACAAATTGAGTGATTTTATTATATTCGGGCATTCAATTTTAAAATTTGTGATATTTTGATTTAAACTGAGGTCGTAATTCAAGTTACCTTCACACACAAATGTATTTGATGATGTTGAATATTTAAATGAAGCAAATTTGTAGTCATTTTTCTCATCACTTGTTGTTACACTTCCAAAAGTGAATACAAACTTTGAATCGTTAAAATAAGACGAAATTGATAACTCAACATCATCATAAATATTAACTTGTTTTGCTTGCTTTAAACGAAAAATTGTGACATTTCTATCAACAAGTAATTCAGTATTACTCAAGTCAGCATCAAAGAATCCAAACTCGTTGATTTCACTTGTAAATTTGAGTTTGCAATTCACATTAGCATCGTCATTACAGTGGCAGTGCGGGTAGTCAAATGTGTACTCCATATTTATTGGTGACTGTATTTTGTAATATTGCGACTTTAAAGTACAAACAACATCTTTGTCAAGTAAAATACCATTTGGGCAAAATCGAATCAACTTTTTGTTAGAAATTAAGTAGCCCTTCCCATCAGTAAAATTATATGAGTAATTAAACATGTCAGAAGTGATGTGATCTGTATTGGTTGAAGTGTCTATATTAGACTTGTCATTTAATGAAATGACATCAAAACATTTTGTGTTGCCTGTTGGATTTTTAATTTCAAAATTTTGTCTTGAAACGTATTTATAATTAAGATGGAGATACGTCGAGTTCCACATTATAATTTGTGGGTTGTTCAATTCAGGATTTTCTAATTCGATATTACCAGCAATTGAGAGTCTTCCAATGGCAGTTGTATTTTTTAGCACGTTTATTACAGCTTTTGGTTTAATATAAAAATTGTTATTAGAGTGAATGTTCGCAAAACACAATAACACGAAATTTGAAATTATTGTGAAACCATTAATATTTTGCCATTGAAAGTCGATATACGAATATAAACCAAGGTTGTTTGTGATAACAATTTCATTGAAATAATAAGTAGTGTAGAAAAAAATAAAATTATATGAGAAACATATTGTATCATGATTTTTATCACAATTTAATGGAATAAAACCAGCCGCATCATCGGTTCCCGCAGGAGTACATTGGCACTGATATCCATTTGTCGTTAATACAAATACAAAAAATAACACATACATTCACAGTTAAACAAAATTGTGTTATATATTTAAGATCTTTTTTATTAATAATGTTTTTATTTTGAGTCATTTATTTTAAATAAAAGACATGATAATTAAATTTCATGTTTTAGGGTAAATATCAAAAAACATTTTATATCGATGTTTTTGAACACTATTTATTGTTATTCGGTTTTTAATAAAGTTTGTTGTTTAGAGTTGTCTAAGTCGCCATCATTTTTTCAATATTAAAAAACAAACAAATTCTGCTTTAAAAAACAACAAAAAAAGTTAAAACGAAAACCAGGGTCGTCCAAGATCCAGTTTTTAAACAACTTCGTAG